TCACTAAACTGTTTAGTAAATAAATAAAAAAAATGGTTTTCTGATTGTTAACTATTTTATGTGGTGACCACATTTACTTTTATTATAAATAAATTTTATCGAATCTCAGAATAGTTACAGGCTCCAAGGGGAGGTTAGCAAATCTAAGGTCAATTATTGCTTAGTTTGATGAAGTGATCCAGTCAAGGCGTAGAGAGGGGTTATGAAGAAACCTCGTAGTTAACAGAGAGTAAAAGTGCTCTAGTGCACTGACTCAGCATAATAATAAATAAATAAATAACTTGCAAGCAAATTTTTTAGTTAATTTTATTTGAGTAAAAGTATAATTTGAAATCAATCTATTGTTTCATTTGTGTTAGCGTCCAGGCTTCCAATTAGAGTGCCGTCACTCTCATGGGCCTTAGGGGTATAAACCCATGCCCTTAGTACAACACCTTTAGCAATGTCCGGACAACAGTGATGTTTAGTCACTGAAACTATACTATAAACAGCAAAAAGCATAAATAAATATGCCATCCTCATAGCTAACCCTTATTGGAAATGATTAAAAAGTTAACAATATATATATATAAATATTAATAAATAAGAAATCTATCGTCCGCGTCCGTTTGTGAGGCTAAAGACAATATCACAAGATATTTAAAACCGGAGCAAACCTCATATCCTCAGTCCTCTAACAGTTTTCACTTACACGTTTCGCCTGAGGAGTATCCAGGCTCATCTGAGTGGATAAGATTGTATGGAGACGTTTGTGTATGTATGTATGTGTATAGTGCTTTTTTAAATATTCATAAATTTTTCTTTGCTCAAAAAAAAAAATCAAAAAACGATTAAGTCTATCATTCCACTTCGAGTATCACCCTTCGTCAGAGAAGCAAATCAGAACCTATCTTAAAAACTAGTGTAAATTTATCTATTTAAAAACAGGAATGTATTCCTGTAATGGGATAAAAAGGGTACCATAGGGCCTAAAAAGTTATTTTATATATTATTTCAAATGAAAAGTGGGCGCATGCGGTAATAAACACTTACCCTACTGCTCCTTCCTGATATAGTATTGCTGAACATTTTTATATTGTATAAATACTTGAAGTATGAACCTTTCCCGAGACTGTCGATTTGATATTAGAAGTATAAGAAATTTTATAGTCAAGTTACGACCCAACGCAATCCATAAATGCATCATAGAAAGATGGATTAGTATACAAGACTTTAGACCTACCATGTCTCACATGTTGCTGCAAATCAAATAACCGCATGAATAGACATATATTGACTGACTGGTTTTGGTTCTGATTTTAATAATAATGTATTCGTTGCCGTTGACTACTAAACTGCAGGACTACTAAACATTTGAACAAAACAAATAAATTTCTTCATTACTAGGTTTTCAAATGGCTTGCAAATACGAGTGTGATTTTATATTATAATAAACAATATATTAGTCATTCAGTATAACAATCAAATTTTTTTACTATGTTCAGTAAAATTTTATGTTAAACAAAATAATTTAAAGCCTATAAAATGCATATTAACAATGCAACAGGAGAAGGGCTATATACCTTGCTTACATTAGATCATAATATCTTTCTACTAGAAAGACGGATTAGTGTACAAGACTTTAGACTTCTAGTCTCATATGCTGGCCCATTTATAAGGGTACTTGCTGCTGCAAATGCCTTAGCAAGTGCTTTAAACCACATTAACTATGTAAATCGACAGATATTGAATGGCTAGTTCTTCTGCTTTTAATTGTCATGTATTCGTCGTCGTTGACTATTAAGTTGTAGTATATTTTTAGCTTAAACATTCCTTTACAATCTCATCGGCAAATGTGATTATATTAGTAGCTATACCTTCGCCGGCATCATTGTATGGTTTAACACGTCGACTAAGCCCTATTTATAACGGAAGGTGGTACCACCCATTCTACAATTTTCTAATTTAATTTTGAATTTCTGGTAAATAAAATATTTTTTAACATTGCTAGGTTTTAACACAAAAGATCAATCTGGTCGCAGTGCTCCGCTCCGTCGGGAGCTGGTACCCCGTTTATTCCTAGGTTTTCAAATAACTAGTAAATACCGGCAAATCAAATTATAATAAATAATATATTAGTCATTCGGTTAAACAATTAACTTTTTTATTATGTTCAGTAAAATTTTATTTTAAATAAAATAATTAAAAACCTATGAAATGCATGTTAATAATGCAATACCAGAAACACTATATACTTTGCTTGCATTAGATCATACTATAATATCTTTCTACTCATTGAACTCCGTGGTAATTTGGTCACGTGAGTCTAAGATGTTGAATTGTGGACTTTCCTAATAGGTAGTGTTGAAAATATTATTAAACTTAGTAAAATATTATGTGAATCTAATTTTTTGGTAATTACATATTGTTTATTAATGTGTTTTTAAATGAATTGCAAAATCGTTCGCTGAAATAATAATTTCATTAAAGTTTAATTAACATTAAAAATAACTTGTTCCACAAAAGCAGAAAATTGCTGGGTTTGGCTAAAGTGTAACAAAGGCAAAAAACTCTTGGCATGTAAAAATAATACTAAATTTAAAATGAAGTGGAAAAAATTGTAAGGTTGTCTTGTGGTTACAAAATCTTTGAGTCACATACATCATTCGAGAAAAAAAAAATCTACAAACCTTTTCATACACGGCACATTATGACAATGGTCAGTCATATCTCAAAAATATTTTTATTCATATTTCTTATTTCCCTGAGTTTGAACTCGCGGTTTTATGGCTTAATTGTTGGCATGATTTTTTGCATGTTCGAAGGCTCGTTAACAATAAAATAACTATTTTTTACTTTACCAAGTAAATTAACAAACATCGTACAATTTATGTTTTTAAAAAATTGTTAGTCGCAGACAACATCAGTGACAACAATGAGTTCATTTAGACATCATCTCTATATGACTTTCTCAGTTCAAGAAATGTATTTTTGTCACTTTACCTCAGTTCCAAAATCTGCATGACTTATCATTCCGACATCATTTTGAGACATCGATGCATGTCAACAGAGTTTTGCATATTAATTACCGATGTCTCGTCTCACTGACTTGTATTCTTCAAATAAAATTTAAAATAATTTTAATATTTTTAATTAAGCAGAGATAAAGTTTTTATTTGATTTTATCAAAAATTATGACGATAAATGCTGCTTTGAACTTACGTCGGTGTCATGGCTCGTGCTTATGTAGAAATCAGCTAATTATTTTCGAATAGTGGACGCTCATGAAATGCTAGGGCTAGTTTTATCTTAAGTTACGCTGCCTGCTTTTATTTTGCCACTGGATATGTGTATTTATTTTGTACTCTCCGTTGTTGCTCGGCTGACCTGCTTTTCTCGTAAATATTTTTGAACTTGAGCTAATTCCATTGCTGTAAAGGTATTTGCCTATAGATTTTATAAAATTTTTATGATCTTAGATTTGTTTTCACATCATTAATTAGCAGATTTCAAGATAATTGTTGTAAAATAAAATATATTTTTTATTGATATGACGTTTTTATTGATTGATATATCAGTGTAATAAATATTTATTTGTATCATAATTAATTATGCTACTAGTATTGAAATAGATTAATATTTTACGATATCCAAAGAAATTGACATTGGTTTTTTATTTTTTCT